TGCTGCATCCAACAGCTCTTTATAGATTGTGTCAGCTGTAGAAAATCCAATAAAAACTTATTCAGCCTTTTTTTGTTTTTGGCATTGATGGAGGTGACAGAGTATTTTTCTGAATAAATGTATAATGCAAGTAGGGTAGGGTTATGGTAAGTGTGAATGATGGATGTGTGCACAAGCAGCTGCAAAGAGGCATAACAATGTGTGAAAAAGAACAAGATCCTTGTTAGAAAAGTATCAGTTCAATTCTGATGCGCATATGTTGTTCAAGGAAAGATTTTTGTATAATGCAGATATTTTGTAGAATTTAATATTTCCATTAACTGTACAGATTTAGTTTTGACTACACAAGCCTGCACTTGTTCTCCAAAACTTCTGCTTTTCCAGTTTCTTAAGTAAATCTACCTTACCTAAGGTCTGTGTAAAAGTTTTAACAGACTAAATGAGGCATTTTCAGAGTTTGTGAGGCGGTGGAATGTAAGTTTCTGGAAACACAAAAATGGCGGGAACTCATAAAAAAGAATAAATGAAGCATTTTCAGCCTCGACTTGGATCTTTGGCAAGTTGAAACATCCACGGATGATTCAGGCTGCAAAAGAGAGCAAGATTTTCAGCAGTTAACAGGAAGACTAGCCATATTTTGGCAAAGTTGCCCTTTTATTCTTTTTGATCTCTCTATTGTGAAAAATCCTATGTTTGGAAATGATGGTTTTCCCTTTGGAAAACTCTAGAATACTTGCTGTTTTAGTAAAGCTAGCCACAAAATGTGCTAATCACTAAAATAAGAAGCTAAAGACAACTCCAACATTTTCTCTTTGTTTTGAAATAATAGTAAAATGCTTCCTCACATGGTGGGGTGCCATCTTTTCCTCAAACATAAATTGCTAATGACTGTTCTTGGCAGTAATTTTTGGACCATCAGGTCAAAGCTAATGCAAAAAAAAAAAACAACAAACAGAAATCTCTCAGAAAACTTGGATTTCAATTAAATTTTACCTTTTGAACAGAAGAAACGGCTGACATGGACATTTCAAAATTGTGATAGCTAAATAGTGAAGATCTGTCATGGTGACATTTGTGTCCCTCGGCAGAGCAGCAGAGATCTCTTCACCTCTGTAACCTTCAACTTTCAGCTTTAACCCCTTCAGCGTCCTTTCTCCACCCACCATTCGCCCAACACCTTCAAAAGGAGGGGTGCATGAAGTGCAAAAAATAGAGAAGGAGGCAGTGGGGTGCAAACCTGAATATGGCAGACATCTGGTGGTAGCAGGAGGGGAAAGAGTTGTGTTGTAAAATGTCTTAGGTAAGCATGGCGGAGTGATGCTTACCATTTCAGGAGATGAAGACCTGAAATGAAGCAGAAATAGTTGTATAGAGAAGATGGTGACAAACGACGGGGAATCCAGAAGAAAAATGATTAGCAGTTGAAATAGGAGAAATAGGCTCCTGAAGGAACCTGGAATGAATGGGATGAAAAGGTGACATGTATTTACATGTTCATGTTCAAGCTTTTTGTTAGACCTGTAAGACCTGATATACATGCAGCGGGGAAAAAATAAGTCTGTTCCTGTGTAAAGGGCAGATATTATGAAAAAAAAAATCTATTTTGGCTTAATATTACTGCTTAGTGCAAGCAAAATAATTCCTTACTGTACTTTCCTTCCTATGTAAAGCAAAAAACACATCAGAACATAAAGCCAAGATATTATCGAGTTGTTAAGTTATCAAGAAGTTATGTCAAGACATTTCAAAGGTGGAGCATTAATATTCTATCTAAAATTTATCAGAAAGAAAATTGTTGAAAGAAAGTTTAGAAACTTTGCTGATGTAATCGTGGTGCAGGCAGTGCATGCGTCAGACGCTTCATTGATTTGGTAGGAAACCATATAAACTTCCCTAAAGGTCCTCAGCAATCAGCTTTGCACGTTTCTAATACTGTTTTTATTGCGCCAGCTTCATAATCAATTTCAAATGTGTTTTTCGATTGCATGATTTAAATGTGAAGTTCTGGGTTAAACTCTACATGACAAAGTGGGTTGCCTCTCTGGGTCAGTTAGTTTGTCCGCCTGTCTGTTTTTTTTCCTCCATCCGTCCATCTGGAACCATGATTGTTAAAAAACGTGAGTTGGTTAAGAGAGAGACGGTATTTTAGAGCCATGTTTGCTCAGTTTTGTTGTACCTTTTTTCACAACTTCATTTTGTGTTCAGTCACATTCTCCACATTGGTGTCCACCATTTCAGCTGTGAACATGGTTAAAACCATTCAGAAACGGTAATATAGTGGTTCTTGTTAGTGGGACCCCCACGCAACTTTGAGTGCTAAAAGCAGCCGCTCTGCAACAAACCTCCATGTTCCCATGTCTTCTCAGGCTCTCTCTCGTCTCCAGACTTCCTGTCCCTCCTCATGTCTGTCATCCATCCCCAGCAAGCGTCTCCATTCTCTCACCCACTAAATCACCATAAAATAGCCCTGACTGCGCCAGATCACAGGGTAGAAAGAAAGGGGGTAGTCATAGTTGGATTGCTGAGCTTTGAGGTCTGGTGTTTTTTTTTTTTTGTTTTTTTTTTTTTTTACTGGGCCGCTCTTTTCAGGATGAGACCCATGAAATCATCCAATAGGATTACGTAAGGCACCACGGGTTCTGCTGCCGCTCCGTCGTGTACGCTGCCATTGTATTTCTGATTCTCACAGACATCCTGGGTTGTTAGCCATGAAGCCTCTCCTAACACTGTGATTACATGTTGACTTTTCATTTGATTTCTTCTATTGGTTTTTATTCACAGTTGTTTAAGACTTCTGCTTCTTTTTAATTTCTTCTCATTCAGTTTTCTTTGAGCAGAGAAGTAGATGTGTTTATTTTTTACTCTGTAGTCCATCTGTGACAGTGAACTTGGCACACAAAAGCTGGTCTGCTTAAACCGTTGCTGTTCCTGCCAGGGTCACTGGATGAACTCAGAGCTGCGGAAGCCATGTTTACCAGATAACCCCCGTGTTCAGACTATAGCTGGGCGCCCGCCTGCTCTCCAACACATGGCACAAACTGGTTGTATGGTGTGAAAACTCAAAAACAAATTAATATGAATGTGAAACTGCAAATTATTTCATGTTCCTTTCTCAAATTTTTAACTTTGTCGTACTGAAACTGATTTAAGTCTATTGTCATTTTTCTTTACTGACTATAATATAGTATGACATAAGAACTTGAGCATTGAAATATATATTTTAAACAATATTTTAATGCTGCAGTTAAGTCAGTAATTTATAAATATTAGGAGCAAACCTAATATTTACACACCATGCACACCTGTTGTAAAACAGGATTTCCTGTTATTTTATAGTAAAAGCAAATTATTAGAGTTGACTTTCTCATATGGCTTTAGTATCTTATATTAATTATTTAGTGCAGCTGGTTGTGCCATAATGTTTTGTTGGTTTATATATTCTGCTGAACGTAGACCCTAGCAATAACTGAGGTTGACATTTCTAAATCCACGACTGATAAAGCTTAAAGTGGAATTAGAGAGCAGTGTAGCTTGGCTTTATTTTAATCAGCCTTTCTATTATCCGCTAAAAGTTCTGCCCTCTCTAATTGTGTGGCAGCAGGAATTAAGAAAATACTGTTTCCTAAGGTCTGATTTTTGAGCTTTGGACTGGCTAGTTTTGGTGACCTTTCAGTTTCTCATTCCTTTTTTCTTTTTCCCCCTCTTTGCCACCGTCTAAATTAAGAAAATTCTGTAAATTTAGTTACTTTGACTAGTCTCAAAGTAACTAAATTTAAAGAAATTGGTAACACTTTATTTGAAGGGGGTTGAATAAGACTGACATGACACTGTCATAAACATGATATAACACATGTCATGAACATGAATAAGCCTTCATGAATGTTTATGAATGTTGTCATAAAGCGTCATTCGGTAAATTATGACACTTTTAATACAAAGTTGACATTATTCAAAATGTCTTTGTTATGACAACTTGACATTAACCAAGAAATCATTACTGATATAAATTTGTTATAAAAGTATTACTGATTGCACTTTAAAAATTAGGTAAATTTGTGTTATTAAAGGTAAAGTTTAAACAGTAATGATTGCCTGGTTAATTTCAAGTTGTCATAACAAAGACATTTTGAATAATGTCAACTTTGTATTAAAAGTGTCATAATTTACCGAATGACGCTTTATGACAACAGTCATAAATATTCATGAAGGCTTATTCATGTTCATGACAGGTGTTATGTCATGTTTATGACAGTCTTATGTCAGTCTTATTCAACCCCCTTCAAATAAAGTGTTACCCAGAAATTTAGTTATTTTGAACAAATACTGTTTTATTTGTTCAAAACAGTAATAAATTCCCACTGAGTCTCACCCACTCACTCAGATGATATCTGCAAATATCCAGAAATGTCTTTATTCACCTGATCAGCTCCCACTATTCACTCAAAACATTTGGATAATAGTGTTTACCAAAACCAGCTAAGCCAACAAAACAGTATTTGTTGTAAGTAGGTAATTTACTTGATCTGCAAATTCAATGATAATCCCGTTTAATCTCTCATTTATGTTATTCTGTTGTTTACTGAAAATAGAAATCAGAACCCTTTTATAGTAATCGACCTTTTGGTTTAAGATTTACATCCCAGCAAACAGCAAAGCTTGCATCAATGTAGGAATAATTAAGCAAATAAACCAGAGTGTGTTATTTTGACTTTGTTAAACGTGCATGATTCGGTGTATAATATCAGCTATCATATCTACACTGAGGATATAGATTTGCATATTTACAACACAGTCAGCCTAGATACTCTCTTGTCTTTCAGTGTGCGCTGCTCCATGTGAGTGTGTGTGCATGTCAGCGTACGAGTGTGTGTGCGTGCACAGGCTCGCAGCAGCCACCCTTGCCCCCACCCCTCTCATTAATATGTATGTGATCTGAGGCAGCTAGCGAAGACGGTGTGTTTCTCACCCGCTGATTAATGCTGTCTGTCAATTACCTCTAGATCCAACCGTGCTGTGGAGCTTCCCCCAGGACCACACAGACCAGGTTGGAACACACTCTGCTTTTTCTTTTTCCACTCTCTCCAAATCTCTCACTCGTTCAGTGTTACAGACAACCTCTACCGCCAACACCACCGCCACCACCTCCTCCTCCTCCTCTCCCTCCTCCTCCGCCGTCTCTCTTCCTTTTTCCTCACGCCCGAACTCACCCTGCCTTCCTGTGGTAACCTCCCCCAGCACCTATCACCACCACCGCTCTCCTTCAGGTGCTTCCTCTCCTCCTCCTCCTCCTCCTCCTCATCCCCACCATCCTTCTCTGCCTGACTGTACGTCTGTGGTTGGTAATGAAAAGCAGTCAGCAGGTCTTCAATAAATGGTGAATCTGTAATTATCATGCATCCGTGACAGGAATGCACTCCTCTATTTTCTCCCCCCTTTTTTTCTTTCCCTCTCCATCTCTCTTTTTTGCCTTTCTCTTCATTCCTCCTTTTGTCTCGTATTTACTGTATTTAGTTTCAATCTGAAATGCATTGTTGTCTTCATAAAACAGTTTAAGGTAAGTATTTTCTACTTTGTGCTGCAAATGAAATATTAAAAATGTACGTAAATTATCTTATCTTCTGAATTTGTTGATTATTTTTGTGAGCCAGACATAGATCAGAGATTTTCTTCATCCATTTTAGCCGATTCTGATTTTTCTTTTTATAGCCAACCTTAATTTTTTTTTTTAAATTAAGGTCTCAAAATATATTAAACTCGATGGAAACAGTAAGTTGGCCTTTAACTTGTTACTACGGTTAAAATGTAACCGTACCATAAGACTTCATTTTTTCCCCCACAAGATCATTTGAAAATAGTGAGTGTGACAAAGTTAATATTTGAGAAGAAAAGTTCTAATTTGCTGTTCTGTTAGATTGTTAAGCCATTCATTCAATTATTGAACCTTAGAGCTGCTTTTTAGTCGTCTTTAAGTGATGATTGCTTGTTTTTTTTTCTTTCTTTGACATGAAACTAAAACTAAAAATGCTTTAGATGGTAACAACTTCCTCACCAGAGTTTTGTTACCTGCCTGTGAGGGTACGGGGGGACAAGTTTCTAGCTTACAAGAAGGCGTTATATGATCAGGCTCAAAATCTTAATAAACATTTAAAACTGTTAAGTTTGAGTGACATTTTATGCTTCTGATTCTTTGTTGTCCAAAGATTCACTGAACTGATGTGATGTATCACAGTAAGCTCTTGAGCCCTCCGACCTGCTACATTACAGCTCATAAAAAGATACAAATAAATCAAGTTTAATTTACACATACCATATATCTGTTACAATCATGATCATTAATTCAGTTATGTGCAAATCAGTGAAGAAAGAATGATGCAGAATCCTGGGATTTTCTTTCACTGCTGTTTTGTTTCAGTATTTACCTCTGTTGCCTCCTGTCACTTCATTTAGCTGCACTTACCATTGTTGAACATCATCATATTATAAACAACTAAATAGGACCCAGGAACTAAATTATCCTTCATGCCAGTCACATATTTTAGCAGCTGTCTCGAGGGGACGGTAAGCGCTCTTGATTTGATTGGATTTTATTTGAAAGGCCTGCTCTTTCCCCCCCAAGAAAAATATTCCGCCTCAGCAGGGTGTCTGTTTTATTTTCCCTGTCTGAATTCACCTCCAGAGCAAAACACTTTAGATCCAAGTTGATCAGAATGATCTCACATGCTTTAATGCAGGAGTATATTAGTATAACTGTGTAAGCAGCACATGAGGTTGAATCAGTCTCCTGCGCTTCATCAGCCTGTGACGAGTCATGATCTGTTGTTTGTGGGAGAATTTCAGTGTTTGCACTGGTCATGAAATGATGTAGCATATTACGTTCATATAAATGTAATGTCCTATTCTAATACTATAATTACAATTTAACTGAAACATAAACAAAACTGTTAGTGGGGGAATTATAAGAAAGCTGCAGTGTGTGCATATCCTTGACCCAATGCTTTGTTAAACCATGTGTTTCAGTGTTTAGTCTTCAGCATGAAGTCTTTCACCATAATAAATCTTAAACTGTCAATATTTTGTCACTTTTACTCTATAAAGCTTTGGACTGTGAAGACATTTCCAGTTCACACCCCCTGAATCAGATTTAATTCTGGATTCTGGCTGAGGCAATTCCCAAACATCACTTTTCCTTTTTTTGTTTATTTGGATGTAAGCATTAAAAGTTTATTACACCTGTACAAATACCTAAATTCAAGCAGAAGAAAAGTAACTACAGAACATGAGGTTGCTACAACCTCTTACCCAGATAGAAAGATTGAGTAAGAAAATGTCATGAAAATCCAAATAGTAAGCAAAGCTACATTTCAGGTCTGTCAGATTCAAGGTAATCAGTTGGTATGTATGACGTCAAGAAGACTGAAGGCTTCATTTTTAAGTGCAAATAGAGGTGTTCTTACTACTGTGTCTAATATTGTTTCAACACAAAATTCAACATTCATTTAAACAGTCACTGAATTTAGTAGCAGTTTTCAAAAACATAGTCATTCCGCTGACTCTAAGTAGATCAAGCTGATATTGGTGGCTAATTGGTCAGGCTAACTTGGTAGGCAATATCTTACCATGCTAGCCTTGTAAGGTAGGTTGTAGTTTCAAAACAGCATAAAATTAGAGAGATGGGCAGCGCTAATGTTTCCACATCATGACTTCCAAACTGCTGAATTTCTCTTTCTTGTAAATGGGGAAAGAAGTGTAAGGAGCCCCCTTTCAGCCAGCTGACTGGCAGTCCAGAGGTAAAGGTTTGGGTAGAGGCAGTGCAGTTTTTCCTCTATCCACTACATTGCTGTGTGAAAAAGGACTTTGAACTGTTTGAGTGTTGTATCTTGATACCAGTGAGCATCACATGCTTAATCTCTATGGGTTTCGTCTAAATGCAGCAAATGGCAAAAGAAAACCAAACCATGCAGGTTTTTATTCAGCTAAAAGTGACCAGAGAACAGAAATCAAAGTATTTGACAGATGACTGTAGAAATAAACGTGCAAGGTAACGTAAACAGGTTCAAAAAAACACCCGCTGTAGTTTACACAGCAGTCTGGCACTTAGGTTTAAACAGCTCTACTGCTTCTCTGATCCACTTTGAGGAATAAACAGACTTGTAGAAAGATGCTTCAGGCAATTTATATCTGCCCCACAAGAACCAATGCATGCTATCAGAATAAGACATAAAGAAAAGAAAACGGTTTGAGATTTATACATATCTGAATCTAAGAAAGATGTGTTTGCGTTTACGTGAGCCTCATCCGTCTTGTATCTCCAGCATCCCCTCTTCTCTTTCAGTCAGTTGTTTGTGTGCATAAGATGGTCCTTAAGTTGGCTAGTTAGTGTGCTGTGTACAAAGGGATTGGTCTCTTTCCCTCATATACATAAAGGCGGTATTCACAGGCCTCATTACCAGGATTAGGGCTCTTTTCCTCCTTTGTGGAGCTGAAGGCTGGAGTCCTCTAGCCACAGTCTCTGTCTTCTGTGGCCTGAGCTGGCCAGCATATGGCAGCAGCAGCCAACAGTCTCTGCAGAGGGACTCGGAGCTCAGAGCAAGGCCTCCTTTTGTTTAGGCCGTTATTGTTGCGGAGCGTAATGACATTTGTAGGCCGTAGGATCGAGGTGGAGGGGTTAGTCTTCCCCAGGGGAGGGAGACGGAAAGAGGGAGGAAGACAGAGCGGGATGGAGGGAGGGAAGGCGTGTAGACAGACAGAATTGTGGATTATGGAAATATGAATTGATTTTTTTTTTTCTGTTCAGTGGTAGAATAGAAAGCTCAAAGGAGAACAGACTGCAGGCTGGCTGACACGCTGGGGTGGTGCTAGGGAAATCTGAAGTGAGAGGGGCTTGCTGCCTCTTTCTCTGTTTCTCTTCCTGTTTTTCCTCGTCTTTCCCCTCCTCCTTCCTCTTTTCCTCCTTTAGCCCCTGAGACTCTCGATGCCCTGGTCATCTACAGATGCCACTTGGATAGAGAGGGAAAGATGTAAGAGAGAGGGAGGGGAAAGGAGAGGTGGCTAAAGCATATATTTGAATCATAAGAGGGTTTTTTTTCTCGTCTTTTTTAATGTTTTTGCAAATGAAGCAGACAGATGGAAATCTGTCCGTTTTCTCTTAGATCTCGTCCCAAAGTTGTCGAGGGGAAATCAGCAGACAGAACAGACACAGGATACAACCAGCTACATCTAGCTAACCCCTGCGTGGCGTATGCAGCGCTGGTGACCGACTTCTCCTGTGAAGAACAGATGACGATACGATAAACACTCTGCAAGCTTCACAAACAGAGGATCATTTGAAGACTAAGGCTGTTAGTATCTCCTCAGTAAGATGCTCACACAAACATGCACTAATGCAAATAGCTGTATGTTTGTGCTTAAAAAGAAAACGGCGTGATTGGCTTCAGGGGTGTTATTTCCCCCTAGTCTGTGATTATGTTTCACAGTTAGTTTTCAGAGTGAAATACACTGATTAGACATAATATCATGGCCACTGATGGGTTGATGCTGCTTTGTGTAGCCCAGTAGCTCAAATTGACAAAGACATTGATGCTGGTTCTGATAGAGAAATATGCAATGCATTACATATTGTTGCATTTGGGTCACCAACTTGCATGAAACTATCACTGCTAGAATCTGGAATAATAGGAAAATGATCAATCTAATTTTGTTCTACATCGAGAGTACGGCTAGTTTTTTGTGTATTGCTTGCCTGGAAAACACATGGCACCACGCAAAAATGGTTCAGAAATACTTTGACTTAGTTTTTAAAATGATTAGAAACCTGAAAATATTTGACATGCTTAAAACAAGGACTGTGTTCTTGATGTTTATCTAACTTGTCTTCTGTTTGCACTAAATTGTGGTCTTGCTTCCTGTTTGTGTTCTTTCTCTACACACTTTTTCAGTTTAAGAACTGACATAAAAACTTAACTCTGCATGTTTTTATAGGCTTTCAATGTCAATCTGTTTTAAAATCATAAGTAACTCTTAATGTTCGCTCTCATCCTCTTTGTT